GCTGGCTACCCCATTAAAATCCCTCCCTTTTCCCCATCTTGAAACTATTTGCTTTTGGGTACTTTTGCTTAGACTATTTTTGTTGTTCTAGTGGTGACATGACAACTGTAGCTGCAGGAGGGAGGATTTAGCAGGGGAGGTATCCAAACACAGAGCGCAGTCAGTCTTAACTCTCAGTTCTTTCACAATATGAATTCTTTTTCTAACAAGTATTTTCTCCTAACTACTCCAATGTGGGTTTCACAAATGCTATTTAAACAAAGCAACTGAAATCTACAGCTTAAAGAAAAACAGCAGGGATAAGAAATAAACAAACAAAATCAATACTTTGCAAGGTAGTCTGACATATTCTACTTTATTCCAATTAAAACACTGCACAAATTGCAATACACTGTGTTTTACATCATACAGATATCTCTAATGAAGGGTCTTCTGACAGGCAAGGCAGATTCTACTCATCAGGACATCAAAGGTAAGCTGGCTAATTTACAAGCTGAAGTGCCATACCTTCATAGTGCACAGAAGATACTATATCCCATCAAGATGTATTTTAACCTCTTGCAGACACAGGTAAGTTATCAATCAACATGACCAAGAAATGTAGAAACAAACTTTTAAAAATTGTCCTACCACTGTCCAAGAGGGATGGACTCACACGTCTGCTTTTGACCCACATCTTACGCAGCACCGAGATTAAAAGCAGCATCACATTCCCATTCATCAGAGGCTTAAATTCTGATTGCTTTACAACGGGGAGCAGCAAAATTTCAAAGACTTAAACAATAAACCAGTGGCTCTGCTTCAGAAGTAAAGAAAACCTCTGCCATCAAAATCAGTATAAAACTATACAGCAATTCACAGACACTGTGACAGTGAGAAAATGCAGTTAAGTGGTATAGTCAAATTCTGACTTCACTTTATTAAAAGCTAAAGAAATCGGGGCAAGGCTTCCTAATCGCCACTATTGCTTTCATGGAAGAACCTTCATTTTGTGCTGCTCATTCTAGTAAGACTGGCTGCTCATACCTGTGGGTTTTTCCTTCAGAGAAAGTAAGAACTACAAGAAATGCACCGAGGGAATTACTGATTTCTGGCAGAGTTCTCTGTCCTTCAATTTAACTTGGTTTCTAAATTACGATTACAGCACACTTATAATTCAAACATGTTTTAGATAGAGTCGAGTTTGTTTTTCAATACAGTAGTATCTTTTAAATTAACTAGATTACACACTGAAGGTCTGCATTTTATATACATCCCACCATGACAATTTCTTCTTTCCTAATTTGAAGGAAAATGTTGTTCAGAAAGGCAACCAGAGCAGTTCAACTTTGAGCACGGCTTCTCTTATTTCTCCAGCATTAGCTACAATTTTGACAGGCTTTGATGGAAGACATAAACATAATCATGTCAGTGACCCCTGTCATGACTTGTATTTGCCAGCCAATGTTTACCGATACATATACTTGTACAAATATTTATGGCTGCACTCCCTTTTACTTTAAGAACTGTGTGCAAAACACACAGTTAAGAAACCACCAATGTACAAATATTTATGGCCGCACTCAGTTTTACTTTAAGAACACTGTTTATGTGTGCAAAACACACAGTTAAGAAACCACCACACTGAATTAAAGGTATTTTGCTGAAGCATTGCTTCAGAACTTCCAAGTTATTCAGGATCCGGATAACCTTGATTCCTTCTTTCCTATTCACGTCCAACACAAACACAGGAACTTGCATATGCACAACACATTCTCTCCACAGAAGTTCCCTACCATTAGTACTTGTACCTGTGCCCAAATTCCTACCGTGTATCTGCAGCTAAGTCAGGCTCTGCTTGCACACAGTGGCAGAATTTGTCCCTTCTTTCTGCTTTAGAAGTATTATTAAAATACAGGAATAAAAGAAGATCCAGCAAGAGAGGTACATCTCTGTATTTTCAAGTATTTCATTTGTGTACTCATGCCCTAGATGCAAGAAGGGCAGTGTCACAGACACTTTATGAGGCAGTTAACAATCAGAGCCCTCAGCAGTTTACCAAAACTTGTAACTCCAGAACAGTTAACCTCAACCAATACAGCTTTTTGCATAAACCAAGTTTGGTTCTAGTTCTCTCCCAGGATAACAGACAGGCTGTGCTACAAAGGGTAAGCAACTTCTATTCCCTGTTCCCTTTGGCTTCTCGCCCCAGTTGCTCAGTTTAAGGGAGCTGGATTACACACCCTTTCGCTGATGAGTCACATTCTGGGGATACCAGAAGATATTCTTCTTATTTAATGCATTCGTTTTACTTTTCTGTAAAGTCTACCATCCAGTAAAAAATAAAATCATCAACATAATTAAGACTTCCTAAACCCTAACTACGTGTCCATAAGAGGATATAACTTGGAAATCGAGAAGTACTGATTTGAAAACCCAAAGAAAACCAGAGTTTAGCCACACAAAGCGTAATTTGAAGACTGATGATCTGTTAAAACAAATATTTTAAAGGATGGCACAGCATTAAAAATAAGCTGCTCAAGTCACTGTCCAAATTGGGTAATTGCAGGCTCTCTCAGAAAGAGAGATTTACAACTTTCCCATTCAATGTGTAAAAAGGCAGAGACTGCCCTCGTACCTCCTGCCATGAACTGTTTTGAAGGTGCATGGGACCCACGTCTCATAACTGCATAGCCCACGTACAGTAATCTGGAACTGAACCCTCCGTTTTCATAACTGCGTCAAGTCTCAGTATTCAAATGAACAGTAATATTTTAACTCTTTGAATTCACACTCATGCCTTAAGGGTGCTTAGTGCATTAACTACACAACACCATACAGAAAGTACTTGGTATTTTATGGTACCAAGGGCTGGTTTTTTGCAGATTTAAGCAAAGTGCTGAGCACTGAGCACTTTCTTTCTGGAAACTTTCTACCAAGCAAAGCAGTCAGGAATGATCCAGTATCTGCTTGGCAAATCTGACTATTTAGAGGCAGAATAACATTTTTTGAAGGCAAGCTCTGGAAAGTAATTTATACTCCTGCTTTCCATTCCCTTTTATTGCAACACATTTTCCTGCCAAAATAATCCATGCAAGAATGCATGACTGAAGGAATCTGCCCAGGGTTCAATAGTGTACTGTCAACTCCCTTAGTCTGATATATGACTCCTAATTGAGAGAATTGCCATCTTTCTCCCTCTTTTTTTTTTTTTTTTTTTTTTAAAGATTTTAAGGAGTCCCTCCAGAGAAAGATAATGAAGAAGAGCTGAAAAACCCTGCATCTCCAACGCTGTGTGACTGGTTCAATAAACGTCAGCAGTCACCATTCGGGAAGACAAAGCCTTTCTGTCTTGCCAATAGTGAAAACTCTTTACCTTGACTTAGCAGTGCCATCAGAAAGTGGATACGTAAAACCAACAAACTCCATTCACACAACAACAACTGAACTCTAAATAGATGATATCTGATGTGCTCTACGTTAACACGAAGGCTATGAGTGTGCTTAGACACTACTCCCTTTGCTAGAAGGGGTGAGACAGAAAAAAGGCAGTCATTCTGTTGCACAGAATTGCATCTTTCCAATGGTACATTTCCAATGTACTAAAATAAAAATACTTGGAGAATCCACAAGAATGCATATTGGGATTGAAAACAACCACAGCAAACACTTAGAGATTAACGGATTCTCATCTATTTCATTTATTTATTGTTCTCCCAACAACAACAAAAAAGTACTTTCGAAAACAACTGACTTTATATAGCATTTCCTACAGTAATAAATGTTTGCAGATTTGAGTCCTAAATTCATTTGCTCAATAGCTGAGCAAAGTTATAAGCAGTTGCCATTGCTTGAAAATACAACATTTCAAAAAATAATAGTTATTACAGTTATTAGACAAAAAGTATTTTGACAATTACTCTTATTCTGGTTACCTAAGTCTAGGGTTTCCATCCTGTATCTGAATCCCATACTCAGAACACCACTATCTGGCAGACCACATAACAGAGCAAGAGCATCTTTTTCAGAACAGTGTCAGAACACTACATTTTTATTACAAATTTCCTCTCTCCTGTCCCCTAAAAGTGCATGTGCTGGCAGTTTAATGACTACAAAATGAACCAAACCTTTTGAGACTCTAGTGGGAAATGTCAGTTTACACAGATTCACCAGCATTCAACTACTGCAATCAAATCCACTTGTGTTCAACAAAACCATAAAACAATGCCATGCTGGTAATCTATGGAGATTTCTATAAACAACATTTCGCAGCTCAGCATTTCAGAAGTAATACAGGAGATGTATGAATAATCACTAAATGTCTGGGAGAAGAGCAAATTTCAGTTGCAAAAGGATCCTTCAAAATACCAAGTAAGGAATTTTTGAGGGAAAAGGCAGGTTAGACAGATAGGTACAGACTCAATCAGTGCAAAACATGTTTCCTCATGAGGCCAGCACTCAATCTAAATCACTATGTGCTTGCTCCAAGACAGCGTCTGCAAACACGGTTGCGGTATTTGGACAAGCAATACAAATAGTTGGTCACTGGTACACTTATCACATTTTGTGCTTTAGGTTCTTTTCGCAGCACTAATCCATCAGAAAGAACCACACACACGTTAATAACACTCCATTTCATACCCTAAGCTGAAAGTTGTCTCGTCTTACAGCAATTCTTAACCACATTGCTGAGGCAGAGATTTTTTGTTGCTTTGTTTTTTCCAAACAACATTTTCAGCATTGTCAGGTTTAGAAACAGTCGCTTTATCGCTCTAAGCTTCCATTCACTGCCACTTCTCACATGTCCCCCTTTGGGCATTCCCTAGCTCTGCAACGTAAGTTTTGCAACTGATTTGGACGTATTCGATTCCCCGTCAAGACCAGAATGTGAAGAAACAAGGGGAACACGGGATAGCTGCTCCAGTAAATAAACTGATTGCCCCAAATGGTGAGGAGTCACCACAGGGGTCACCTTGCACCAGAGACAAAAATCACGCCTTCGCGCTCGACTGTTCGCTTACCTCCCGCAGTTCAAGCCTTTGAGCCACTGCCTCCAGACTTTCCTGGCCCGTGCTTTCCACCGACAGCGTGAACTCCACAAATTCATTGTTGAGCAGCTGGATACGAGCCACCAAGCAGCTTTTGCTGGATACTGTGTAACGTCGGGTTCGTTTCAATTTCAACCCAAAAGGTAGAGGCATCTTCTTTTTCCCCACGCAGATGGTTACAGATAAAAAGCTACTACCACCAGGACCTTGCGAGGGGACAAGCGGCTATCTCCTCTCAAAGGTAAGGAGCTGTAAAGTCTCCAGAGATCAACCAGCAGCAGCAGTATCCATTAAAGACAAGCAAGTTTTCCACCAAGACACAAGTAGAAGGGGCATCCACTGGAATCCTAGCGAGAAAGAGAATAAATACAAGAATCAGAAACACTTGGACTGAAAGGGGAATGGGAACATGGGAAAAATAACATGTATGTTTTTTCTGAATCTAAATACTCAGTCTACTTTTCAAAAACGCACATCTGTTATGCATTTAAATGATGAAATAAGCACCAGAGTTTCGGTTTTTTCCACAGCCAACACCGTTCTTCGGCAAGTTGGTATTTTTTTAAACTCACAAGTGAATAATGAGTCTTCATCAGACGTGGCTGCAATGTCTTAAAATAAACATTTCTGAACTGAATTAAGTATTTAAATGAAATACCTCAACGAAGTCCAGGTTGCCTGAGGTATTTCTAATGCTGAAGCAAGCCATTTGCTCTGAGAGCAAACCCAGCAATCTGGTTGCTGCTCCAGATCAGCGTGCGGCCTCAGCCGCTATCTGTTCGATTAAACACAAAACCAAGCCCCATAAATGATTAAGAAAAAAAACAACCAACAAAGGCAGGAAGAGAGGCATTAAAGCTCACACCTCAGCCATTTCCTACCATATAATTAAAATCCAATTCTTCTAATTTTCCCTGAAGTACAGCTAGCTGTACCATTCTTTCTAATGCTAAGCTGCCGCACGATGGTTCAGGTTACGCTTTGCCTCACCACGAAAGCATGTGGATTCTGAGAACTATTTATTAATATTTCCTTGAAAACCACAGTTATTCCCAGTCTGAAGGCAGCCGCCCTTTTCCCCACCTTTTGCAAACACCTTCACACCTCCTCTCCTGTCAACTGCAGAACACACACGCTTCGCCTTTCTCCTCTTTCAAGTGTTTTTTGGGTCTTTCTACCTATAAAATTCGTCATTCTTACTCGTGCTGCTCTTCAGTAGCACATGCAAGCTAAAATTCTCTAAATACAGGCATTTTTCCTGCAGAAGTAGGTGTGGGGAGGACAGTCGCTACAGTGAGGCCGGAGCACTGGGGCTACCGCTGAGTGAAAGCGCTTCGCACACTCGAGATAAAGGCGCCATCGCCTCTGGGAAGGGGCGCGCTGCAGGGCTGGGGGCGATGCGCCCCCCGACCCCCGGTAACACCCCTGGGCCTGGCTTCCACC